CATCGCTAGACTGTCATTTGTCAAAAACTGTATTTCCCCCAACTTCTAAAGTAAGGTCCTGAAATCAGTGTCATGCCAGCCCTGCCCCCTGTGTGCTGAGACAGGGATTGAGACTGGGCGTGGTGGTGCATGCCTGTAATCCCAGTGCTTGGGAGGCTGAAAACAAGAGGATCACTACAGGTTCTGTCTACGTAGTGAGACCCTGTAGACCCTGTAGACTCTGTACTAAAAACATTAAAAAAAAATTCAAGCACTGTCATAGCATACTTATGTGATATTTTGATGGTCTTACGTAAGGTCAGTAAAATTGGTAATAACCACTATAGGATCTCCTCAAAAACTCAGCTTCCTTGGGTTGTTATTTTCTATAGTTCATTTGAGCAAGTTTATTTGAGCAAGTTGCTGCTCAAAGTGAGAACTAAGGCAGATGATTTGTTGTTGTTAATTTGTAACACATATGTGGAGTGAATTTTGAGCCAGAATAGAATTTCTAAGATGCCTTTTCTTTTTGCTGAAAGAAGCTAGATGTGATTTATTTCCTTTTGCCTTAGGCTTCAAAGTTTGAAGTAAAGCATTATATATTTCTATATATATTGTCTTTTAGTCACATAGACATAGTCCAGTGACAGCTGGGAATGAACAATGTATTAGATATAAGTGAATTATGCCTACTAATCCAACACTTAGCATTTTGGAAACATGCTGTAGAACTAGATAAACTGTCAAGTAAACCTTACCACAGGCATTGTCAATGAGTTTTATGGCCGCCTCTGTGAGATTAAGATGACCATATTCACCTCATGATTGTCACAGTTGATACATGATCATCCTCTGAACAGTCACTTCCCAGGCAGCAGTTTAAGAACATCATCAAGGCTCATCTCTAGACTGCCGCTTGTTAAAAACTGCATTTCCCCCAACTTCTAAAATAAGGTCTTAAAATCAGTATTTTTTTAAAAAGATCCCATTGCACAAGACCCTGAGTTCGACTGCAGCAGACATACACACACATGCACACATAACTCACCAAGTGACAAAATTCAAACAGATTTGGGGACCATTGCTGAATATTAAAATACATTTGAATATTCAGTTATTTTCCATATAAACGTCCTCTGATAAAATTATATAACCCTACTCTGTATTATAGATGCTACTTGTTCTCTTTCATAGGACAGTATTCTCACATAAGGAATAAAAATAGAATTTTAAAATTCCTAATAAAGTCTAGTGTACCTGTACTATATTCAGTACTGTCATCTGATATTCAATACAATTTTATGTCATTATTAATTATCAGTGGCCTGTTACATCAAGGCCCACATCACTGAAGATCCAGCTATAGATACAATCTGCACTAACCTGAATTGCAAAAAGAAATAATTCCCCTACAGACAGGTATAGGTATTGCCTACAATAGGACTTCCTAGAAACTAGCTTCATCTTAAAACTCTAGCTGAAAATGCCTCCGGTTTACTCTTTTAATTACCAGTTCTGTACTAGCCATAGTATCTGAGACATATGAAGATAAATAAGTTCTTAATCATAGAGTCGCATAGTGGTAGAGATCTCTATATAGTTCCTTACAACAGAGATTCTTGCTTATGTTGGGCCTGGAGAGATGAGTGGGTCAAGCCACAGGAGAATCTGCAAGAGAAGAACCTGGCAAAGAGAACTGTACAAGTAGTACAAATTCATCCCATGAGACCCCTGTCTCTGCTACCTTTATCTACCAGCAATCAGAGCAGTATTTAACTTCAGAGCAGATAGTTGGATACAGCTGAAACACACTTAGAATCCATCCCCCTTGTAAAGCCAACATGCTCCTCTGTGGCACGCCCATTTGTGCAGTCCTCCCAGCCAGACAGACTCCCTGTTCTCCTGTTTCCTCACCCCCAGGGCCCAGTCAGTGATTAAGAACTGTCAGTTTAATTTCCGAATCTTCTCTTTGACCTCTTCCCACCCCTCCAACCAGTATTTTGCTTCCTCAGACAAGCCTCTGACTTTGACATCGATAGTAGTCCCCCAGATAATTCTGTCCATCTTCAAATTTGCCTTTTTTCCAGTTGAGTCTCCTCATACTAGTTTAAAACACAGAAGTTGCTCTGCTTCCAGTAGGAAAAAATCTAAATTCCTGAATATTATGCATAGGTTAAGAGTTTAGTGCTTAAGCTGGACTTCCTGGATTCAAATTCGTTCTGTGCCACTCAGTAGCTCTCTAGCTCAAGTCATCTAGCTTCTCACGTTTCACTTCCCTCATATATATGATAGGGATCAAAACGGAAGCTCCTCCATTTGAGTTATTGTGAGGGGTTAATACTGTATATGTAAAGTGCTCAACAATGCCTGGTGCCAAATAACCATACAACGACAGTGCTATTCATGGTAGGCATAACAGGTTCTTTTAACGTAGGTTCCAAATAAATAAAAACAGCCAGGGATAGCCTTATGTTGCAAGGATTCACATTCTGGTGGGAGAGAAGGGAATATATAGGTAAATAAAGTCTTCTATATGATAAATGCTACTATAATTTTGAGAAAGATGGCTAGCATAAGAGCAAAAAAATCCTTACTGTCTAAAAAGCTTGTATTAAAACGCTCATTTTCCAGAATATGCAGTAACTCAAGCTTCCCAGAAACCATAATTTGTGTGTTCATAATTTTGTTCCTCCATACCTCTGCACTGACAAGAAATTTAGTTATAGTGTATGAACATTTTTAAAACTCTGTTCTGTTAGGAATAACTTGAAAGAAGAAAAAATGGACATTAGACATAAAAAAAAGGATAAAAATGAACCACAGAGAAATAGTGGAGAATTTGTAATAAAGTCTCAGGGAAAAATTAAAATGATGATGGCAGTGAACTATATTACCGTGAGTTTTGGAAAAATAAAGACTACTGAGCTTTGTGTAAGAATTGCTAAAAGAGATGCAGAACACTGGCTGAATGCTTATAAATTCAGAGTAGCTTGTAAATACATATTAATCCCAAACAGCAATGAAATACATATTAATGAGGAAACAGAATTAGGGAAATGGCTTTTGATATTAGAAGCAGAATAATGTATTTGAAGCTAACAGAACGTAACTATGTTTATGTCACTTTCCAACACAGTGACTTTGAGGAATTATTTCACTTTTCTATTCTCAATTCTGTCATTTTAAAGATGAGATTATTATATCATTACCAAATAAAATAAGATTGAGAAAAGGCCCTAAAGCACTTTGCTGGTAATTCACAAATAGTAAGCCCGCAGTGAATGTCAGTTGTTACTGTTGGTAATACTGTTATTATCATATGCTTATTTACTACATTCAAGTAAACTGAATTGGCAAATGTCTTACAAAGGACGTAATGCAGTGCTTGTTTTTCCTACTTGGCAGGTAGTCTTTACTCATTTCATGCTGCTTTTATTTAGAGAATGCTGCCTGTGGTTGTCATATTCTAGGAGGTATAAAATATTATCATGCCAGAATTTTGTAAGTACATTATTGCCTCTCTTCTTTCTTATTTTTGTATGTGCATTTAGGTTCCTATGAAGTTAAAGCTTCATTATTTCATTGCCTAATTTAATAAATATAAACTATTAACACCCATTTCTTTGATAATGCTTCTGAAGTGCTCGTGTGTTTTAAATGTTCTTCCTACTGTGACTGTATGTTATCTGTGTTCACTATGAACAAAGATAAGCAGTTTGATTTAGCATTCTCTTATATGGGCAGAGTGTAAATGTGCAGTATATCAGACGTCCTGTCCTGTGGGAAACCTTCCTCCTTTGGCTGTAATGTGATCTGTTTTTTCTGCCCAAATGTACTTTCTCTATCTACTATCTCTACCTTTTTATCATTTTAATTTATACCTTCAGAAAAATTATGAGCACTTTGTCATTGGTGGTGAAGATCATGTCATGTATTGAACAGAAAAGACTAGCACCTACTAGATAGTTACGTGTTTTTGTTAAGTGGAAAAAATGGGTGATTCCTCCTTATATCACTTATGCAGTGCTTAAGTTATCAGCAGCAGTGTATCAGAGACTGATTCAATTAAAAATGCCTTAAATAAGGTAAAATAAATAAAATGTTACAGGGGAAACTAATATTAATCTAAGAAGACTGTGGTCTGTGTAATAGCCAGCTTTTTTATGAAGAAAATCCCTGCCATTCTGCAAAAGTCTCTACCCTGGTTTCCTTAAGTTTCCTGGTTACTATCTGGTCATTATCCTGAGCAACAGGTCCAGGCTGCAAAACAGCCAGCAGACACAAGAAAAGTCCCATACCACTAGGTAATTTTACCTCCTGAAATTGGAGGCATAAACTTTACACACTTCAACTCTTTGAGATATTTATAGGTGATACTAAGAAAAGAAACAGTACATTGAAGAAAAGAATTTGCCATTAATGTGTTATACTCATAGCTGAGTATTCATCTCTTTGCTCACAAAAGGCTCAGTTGTGACACATAATTATGTAATAAGCAAGTGATAAGAAAATCAACATTGAAAATTGCCACCTAGCATATGCTATGTCAAACTAATATGGGAATAATCTTTGTATAGGACAAATCAAAAATAGGAAAGCCTTTGCAGGTGTGACAGAAAGCAGCCAAAAAGACAGACTGGCCTCTGTCCTTTTTATAACGATGTCCACATCTGGGGCTTATGACCCTAACCCAGCATGTTGCAGGCTTTTCTCCTGTAAATTCTCAAAGAATTTCTGTCTTTGGTCAATATCCACAAAAAAAGAGGTTTAAACAGCTGCCCTGACAAACGAGTTTCCCCATTCAGACCAGCAAATAGGGTGTTAGAACTGCTTTACAATACCTCATCCCTCTGGTTGCAAAGCATTTAAAATTATGATATTCTTGGGGACTATGTATTTTTCTTTTTGCAGATATGTAAATATCTACAGGATCCTCCTGATATAAGAGGTAAGAAATGATCCATCTAAAGACGTAAAGAGCTGGTTCCAGCTTTTTCTTTTCTTTTCATTTCCTCTCCCAGACAGTAAGGATTGTATCTTGGAGCCGCTTTCGCTGCCAGAAAGTCCAGGTGGCACCACCACTTCAGTAGGTTCTCCATCTGTGCCTTGTATTTTCTGTGAAGAACATTTTCCTGTGGCTGAACAAGACAAACTTCTGAAGCACATGATTATTGAGCATAAGATTGTCATTGCTGATATTAAGTTGGTTGCCGACTTCCAGAGGTAAATTTTAAGTTTGTTTAAAAAGAACTAAATTCAGTAGTCATTAGAAAAATGACATAACCATTATATAAAGTAATTTCTCTACAAGTATAAAAGGTCATATTTTTGAGGTTTCTTAGACTTTAGTTTTAATTTCACATTATTTTGAGTATGTAAACTATATTTGATGACATCAAATAGTACTGAATTTCCCACAAATTCTGTAAACTCATTAGCTTTTCAAAGAGAAGATAGTATTCCTTTTGGCACAGTGCTTGGGATTGTTAACACTGTTACTGTCTCTCAGATTTATGTTCTTTTCATATTTTAGGCTATGGCATTCTTCAACTGAGTGGGTCCTTCCAGAGTGCCCAGTAGATTTGGTAGTGTTTGGGAACAGGGATCCTTGGACCTTTTACACCAAGAGTATCTTGTCCAAAGATATCTGAGTTCAGTTCTGTGATAAGGATAAAAACCAGGGGTGCAGGTGGGGCTCATGCAACAAACAAAAGAGGTGTAAGAGTAGGCAGCTGTTGAAGGAAGTTGATGACTGAGGTACTGAGAGGAAGAGGATGAGGAAGATGAAAAAGCAAAGAGATGAATGCTTGAGGAACTGCCAACCCTGAGCATGGATGAAATATTCTGTTGTATGGAACCCAAGCTTAGGACGAGCCCTGCCTCCAGATAAGTAATATAGGCAATTTTTTTCTTTTTCGCAATTGATAATTTCTGAAAGTAATTGCCCAATAGAAATACCTTCTCATAGCAGCTGTAGCAGAGGAGTTGCATTCATGTCATCATTAGGTAAAACTTTTTCATAGAAGTAACATTATGGTAGTCACTGAAAGTGTACATCTTGGTATATCTGAGAGGAAGTCCCTGGTAAAGTCCCACTTTGAGTTATTCTCTTCTTATTACATACAAAACAATACTAGAGCAGCCTGGACTTGTTATATCCTTGCTTCTTAACTCTGTATCTTATATTGCATAGATTACATATAACATTCCAGGCAAACATATCTCTCTCTCTCTCTCTCTGTCTCTCTCTCTCTCTCTCTCTCTCTCTCTCTCTCTCTCTCACACACACACACACACACACACACACACACATGCGCGCACGCACACATCTTTCTTAGTTGGGTATTTCAAAGCATCAGATGGTATTATGAAGGGTGAACTGTGAAGCCAGGCAGGCCTACAGTTGAAGTCAGGCTCTAGAACTTTTCAATCTTGTGACTTTCAGTGAGCTATTTAGTCATTAGTCCCTTATCTATAAAACGAGAGTAACAGCATCCTTCATAGTGTTCTTGAAAAGTATATAACAGAACATTGCAAGTGTCTGTGACATGATGTGTAAATGATACGTGAGAGTAAAACATTTGTTTGTATTTTTATTACTAAAGATTGAATTTGAATTTTCTACAACTATAACATGAGTTTTCAATGGGCATTTTTGCTGGTCTGAGAACCTAATTATCATTTATAGAATTTAACTTTTGATGCGATTTCATTGAGCATTCTAAGTAGTCTGCATTTCTAGGACAGCAGTTCGTACGTAAGTTGGGATAGGCAGCGCACCCACAGGGCTAACAAGTAGTTGTTCTCTAGCCCTGATCTCTGTCCTTCATGTTCTTCCTGACTTCCTGGCCCCAGCACTGAGACTGTGCTGTGCCTTCAGTACATGCATGGCCTCTTACATCCACTCGGCACTGCCATTCCTGATTAGATTGTGTTGCTGGTGCCAAGAAACAGGAAGAACAGAACAAGGAAGAATATATGGTGAGATACATCACCAACTGAGAAAGCCATTCCTTCCATTCTTAGGCAGGGTGCTCTCTGTTTCTTATTTGTTTGTTTTGTGTAAGCATGAGTGTGTGTATGTGTGTTCTTGGAGTATTCCAGGAGCTTTCTCATGAATGATACCTTATTACAATAAATAGTCAAATCTAGTAGTTATGTCTTAGACACCTTTTAGGCTAATATCTTCCAGTTCTTACCCAAATAACCATTGATAGGACAACTAAGTGAGTAAGTTACATTAGCCAACTTTCTTTGTTTTAAAACTACTCTTTTAGTGCTGCAGAGATAGCTCAGTAGAGTAAGTGCTTGCTTGGCAAGCTCAAGGTCCTGAGTTCAAACCCCAGTACTGCAAAAAAAAAAAAAAAATTACTGTTTTACTCTATCACCGTATAAATGTTTTCCGTCATTAATTTAAGAAAAACATAATCATCTCCCACTGATAATTGGAAAATATTAAAATTTTTCTTTCTCATCTGCCCTTAAGAACCTAAGGAATGCCTGAACCAGAATTGTATTTTTTTCTTTGTGTTGGTGATACTTAAGTAGGTGTATTTATACTGATCAATCTAGTTTTATCATTAATATTAATCTAACTTCCATATGGGGGCAGGAAAACTAAATTACTTACTAGGCCTCAGGGCTTAGGAATCAATAATTAAATGTGATCAATCACTCTCGAAATAAAGTTGCACAATGAAATGGATACTTTTTAAAAAAAGAGATATGTATCTGATGTGAGGGCTTCAAAGTGTGTACTTAACATGCATTTTAAATTTGACCTACATCTTTCTTGTCAGCTGTCATTCTAATTATATAAAATTTCCACTGTCAAGTAGTAAAATGGGGAATAGTGCAGAGTGACCAGGAATGTATCTACAAAGTAAACTCTGTTGCTTTAAAATGCTTTATTCCATTAATTCTCCTTTAAATAATTGCTTCTCACTACTTAATGAAACTAAAAATTCCTCTCAAAAGAGGAGTGTTGGCTGTGATCAGAATCAAATCAGAAGCTGTCAGTGTTCCCTGGCTCATCCTCAGGAAGGGAGTGCCAGCGAGGAGGGGGAGCAGCAGAGGTCAGGGGCTCTGATAGGTCACCAACCTGCCCAGAGGCATCTTCTTTCTGAGTGTAGCTCAGAAAGATGGTCAGTCAGTAAGAGATAGACTTCCCTTGTGCTTTACAGATGACAAGCTGTAAATGCTCAAATATATTTGACATTTTCTTCATTGAAGCAAAGTAACAGCAAAACTTCCTGGGGAAGAAGAAATAAAACAAAAAATGGAAACTTTGCCTTTGAGCACATTTCACAGAATTGTTCAGACTGAGCTGCTAGCTTTATTCAGAAGATAAAATTTCTCCAGAAAATAAATGTTAGCTCCTTCATTCTTGCACCTTCTATGTGTTCCACTCTTCCATTGCTATTTAATAAATAACCATATCTCAAAATTTTATATGTTTGTCATCACATATGCCAATTATGGAGGGACAGGAAAGATATTGCTGCAAGAATTTTTTGAGACAATCTGAGACATGATTTTAAAACTTCTTTTGAAAGGGAAAAATCATTTTCTCATGATTTACTCATCATTTTTATGATTTTTTTAATGAAATATGAAATGCTTTGATAATTTATCCAACAAAGAGTTCACACCACATACATATTACATATTGAATAGCATTTTCTAAACTAGAGACATAAAAAAAAAAAATGAAGACAAGAAGTACTAAATGATCCCTTAACTTTGAAAAATGTATTCTAGTGGGTGGGAAAAAAATGTCTCAAGAAGCATGTGTTGAAGGTCTGCTATAATTGTACTCCTGATTGAATACAATTTATACAAGTGATTGTGCTAACCACGAGAAAGTGTATATACTGATATCCCATACCTCTAATTATAAACTTTACAATTGCTATTAAGTGTTTATAGTGTTTTTTAATTCAAATTTACTTAGGTCAAATTTATATTATAGGGCTGGGGCTATAGCTCAGCAGTGCAGTGCCTGCCTGTAAGTGCAAGGCTCTGAGTTCAATTCCTAGCAAACAAAAAAAAAGCTTGTTGCAATTGAGTTAACTTTGTATATTTTTGCACAACAAGATATGATGCATAGTTTTTTACATTTAAGTTGCATGATGAATTATGGCTGTATTTTGTGATTGTAACAGATAATTTTTTTCTTTGATGTTGTTATTATCCAAACTTTGGTCAGGAAGAAAATATTCAGAGACAAATTTGTTCCTATTGGACAAATGTATTACATACTTCATTTCTGTGCCCTCAAAAGCACCTAACAACATACCTCTCATATTCCTAAAGATATATCTGGAAGACAACATTTATAAAATTCATGGGTACTTGTTAATGGTGCAGTAAAATAACTTTTAGCCGGCGTAAAGATTACCAAGACTATGAGCATGTAGCAACAACTGCTGTTCCCGTCAGCCCTTTGGAAGTCCTCTTTTCCTGACTATTTGAAGAAGATAGCTGAGATTCTTCTAGACAGAATTTCTCCTTGACATTAAGTCAGCTGATGTTAGTAATTGTTTCCCTGTGCCTGTCACACTGAAGTAAACTCTGGTACAGATTAAGTGGATAATGTGATCCTTCTGTTCAAGGATTAAGAAGAGTAGCATGGAAGTCCTTGGAGACTCAGACTCACTGACTATTTGAATCAGGTTATTCTGAGTAGAACTTTGCATCCCTTGCCTAGCAAAGTAATTCCAAATCAACAGCTGCTGTCAGCCTTCAGTCAATCCTAAATAGAAAGTTAGGAGCAGGTCACACTGAGGGCTACCATTGCATAGTATTTTTCACTTTCGGGAAAAAGAACCTTCCCTCTCCCTTCAGACTTCATGTCTGTATTTCTGTTTCTGCCTTATCCTGTGCAATCTGCTGGTCTCTGAAGGAGAAAAAAGTGTTTCAAGTATCCATTCCAGCTATAATCCTGGGGGTTGTTTTGTTTTCTTGGCCAAGACCCTACCTTCCTATTCTCTACAGTAGAGATTCCAAGTTTGGCTTTAGAGCTAGACATACAGAGTTCAGGTGCCAATTCTGACCGTCTAATTATGTGGCTTTAGGCATGGAAAGGCTCAGTAAGCAGTAGCTCCAGTTGTGAGCACCTTTCACCACCTTAGCCATCTCTGGGTAACCTCTGACACCATTAGTATAACTGGTTTTGGTGCAACGTTGCCTTCTGTTTTGGAGGGCTTTGGATTTGTTATTGCTTTTGTCTAGAGGCAATGGTTTTTTGCTTGGAATGGTTTGTTTTCATTTGGCTTTAGTCACCTCCCACTGTTGTCAGGGGTGATCTCTAACAGATGTGCTCCACAAATGGCCTTCCCACCTCAATACATGCCATCATGTATATACTCTTTTTCTTTAAAGGGTCACTTGTTGTTTTGCTGTTTTAGACACCCATTATTCCCCTGGGATAAGCATGAATTCCTTACCACCCTAGTCTTATCTAAATATGTTTCGTGTGTTTGTTTTGTTGGTGCAGTACTGGGGATCGACCTCAGGACCATGCACTTGCCCCACGGGCGCACTGAGGTATATCCCTGGCCCCAAAATGTGGGGTTTTTTTCTTACAATTATTAGCAGTTGTTAAGTACTGAGGATTTGGGACACTGCTTTACATTGATTTAATTATCAGTGACTCATTTTACAAATCAGTACATTGAGTTTCAGGAAGATTCAGTGACCCTAAATTCTAAATCAGATCCCTGAATGCACAGTCCCTGTTCCTCTATTAATACATCAGCTATAAGGGTATAACCAATCTTCATCAAAATAGCAGAACTGCTTTCAGTACAAGATCTGTGCAGATAGAATGTCAGCCAAGATTGCAGGGCCTCTCCTTGTACGTCCCAGTGATAAACACAGGGAAACTCCAGAGGTATCTCACCCCGCATCTCTTTAAAGTCAGCTATTTTGGCACCTGATTCTACCATATGTGATTTTGATTAGTCATGAAAATAGATGTTTGCATATGTTAATTTGGAGGAAAATCTGTCCAATAATCCTGACATCTCTGATACACATTCTACTATGTTTCTTCATCCTTCATACCACTATGTGATAGAAGAGATGCTGAGTATAAAAGAAAAACAGGTCAGAAGATAGCTTTTTTCTTAAGCCTCTTCTTGCCCTTTTTTTTTTAAGAGAATACAAATTAGAATTAAATCACAAGTGATACGGAATTTCACTTAAAGTCATACAAATTTCAAAGTACTTGTTGTAATATACTTATTGTACCCTTCTAGTTCTTCTTGCCTTTTCTTTCTCCCTTTTTCCTCTCTTCCCTGGGGGGTGCGGGGGAGAGACAGCTGTTGGAGAGAAAAAGAGGGACTGTGTAAAATACTGAGATATGGAAGGTGCTGAGCCTGGCCAGTGTTTGAACTCTTGTATGTACATATTTCCACTTTGTTTGCTTTATGGATACAGTGTGTCTTCTGCTTCTGACATGGGCATATGGAAGCCAGTGAGCATGCAGTACATAGAGTAAGGATGTATCACCTGTAGTATTTGAGGCTGAGCTGCAGCCCAAAACAGCCATTTTCTGATCTCTTGAGATACAATCCAGCACTGTTCTACAAGTTTTCTCCTCTTGCCCATCAAGGTTGACAATAGAATGAAGAACTAAAACATGTGCGTCTGTTTCTATGAATTATTCACTGACAGTTTTACTTAACTTAGTGGTGTCATCCATTCTTATTTGTATTTTGTGTCTGTCTCTCCCCTCCTACCTCCCTCTCTCTCTCGCTGTGCTTCTCCCTCTGTGGTTCTCAGATCTCTCACCAGTACAGATATTTTTCTGATACATTAATGCCCTATCTGTGCAGCACCATCAAATTGGGAAATTAATGTTAAGAAAGAGGAAAGTAAGTATTAAGAGGAGACTAAATATTTGGCATTGGAAGCGACCTTGGAGAAATTTATAAGAATAATCAAATATCTTCTATGTCTTTAAAGCATTTATTGTGAGTCTTCTATACACAAAGTGCTGCTAGGTGCTATGTTAGGCAGCTTTAAAGTCTAAATTTCTACCTTTTCCATGTACTTCTCTCCTTAAGTCTCATTTCATTCATAGAACTTTGGTTGGCTCTTTTGTCCATCAGTTGCATAGCACAATAAGGTGGCAGCGTAGAGTCAACTTTTTTCAGTTTATTTTGTCCATGTGAAGAAGACACGCTCTTCATTATGCCTTTTGATAAATGAGCTTGCTATTGCCAGTGTACATCCTGTTAGAGAAATGAAAAGAGCAGCTTGTTGAATCCTGCCATCTTTTTTCATCAGATATGCAGGTCTGTGGGGTTATGATTTGCTTTTAAATTGATCCTTCTCTCACTTCTCATTAGACACAACAAATATAAGCTCAACTATTTTTCCAAAAGCTAAATTAGACTTAGTTCAGGCACAGTATGGACATAAAAAATGTGGTCTTGTTAGATACTGAATGTAGACTGATTTCTCACTGCATTATTCTAGTGACCCTTGTTCTTTTAATTAAGATAACTTCTCAACTTGCTCTTTACTGTAGAATATGTAATAAGGCTATTTAATTGTTGTATTTTAAATACATTCAAAGTTAGATGTTATTTCAGAAAGCTTCATTATAACCCTAAAATAATTCATTTTAACTTTCCTGTGTATCTATTTATTGAATTTGGGGATAATTCTAATCATTTTCATGTCTTCATAAGTAATTTCATTTAATTAAATATTTATTTCGTATCTATAATGCTCCACTGCTTTGTATTCGCAAATTTTTCTACCAGTTTTCAGTCAGCATATGATTTTTTGCTCTGGCAAAATTAAATGTTCTTACATAGTTAATCATTGTAGAGTATGTAGTATGGTTTTCTTATAATCTTTTTTTTAATTATTATTCTAAGATACATTTTATATTGGAGGAAAAGGTTCACTGAACAGCCTGTCACAGATTTTTGCAGTGTGATAAGAATTAATTCCACAGCTCCATTTGGTAAGTGCATGTCTTGGCTAAGATCTTTTCCATATTTCAAAGGAATAATCTTGCTATCTTAAATTATAATTGTAGTCCCTTTCATGATTGCTAAGTTTACGTTACAGTGTTTATTTTGCCTAACTTGAATAAAACTAAAGCAGAATGTATCACAATAGACATATGCAAAGGTATGTGCACAGAGATTTTACAGAATAAATCCTTCTGGAAAATGATAAACATTTATTTTCTCATTTATTTTCCTAATCTCTCAACAGAAGAACAAGACAATTATTTTTTGTTGTGTGATGTTTTACCAGAAGATAGAATCCTTAGGGAAGAGCTTCAGAGACAGAGACTGGTAAGTACTGTCTTAAAAGATGAGCAACGTGTTAGAAATATATACAGTATCATTTTTGTTACTGATAATTTTTTGGACTTTTTGTTATGGAAGCTTTCAAACATACACAAAAGAGGAGCTAAGACATAAAGATCTTAAAACAAAAAAGCATATACTTCATTGAAACAGAAGCACTTCGTGTCAGAAATGCAGAGTTAAAAAAAAAAATGCAGAGTAAATTTTGGCTTTATTTGCCTCCTGGATTATCTCTAAAGTAACAACAGAGCTAGCACGTTTTAATGTAATTTTAGCTGCCTAACACGTGCTAGCGTTCAATAGTTGTGGAAAAATGCCTTCAGCTAAAATTGAGTTGAATTGATTAACCTTTTTTTTCTCCTTTTCATTGCAGTGTGCTATGCACTAGCATCTCTGTTACACTCCTTTATGAGTTCAGCAGCAGTTTAATCAACATGGTAGCCATTCTCAATTTCAACCATAACCATAGGCAAGCTGGTTTTAGAACCTCAGCATCTTTGGTTTTTTGAAAAGATAGCACATAGAAGAAATATAGCAATTTCCATTTCCTATTTGTTAATCATAAATTGACTTTAAGTGATTTTGTGCAATGTGAAATTGACTTGCTCTTTCTATAGCAGTGTCTGGTAAGTCTTCCTTATACCTGTAGACTTCCCGCATACATGGGAAGAGATGTGATTTAAACATTCAGACCGAATGCTTCAGAGATCCAATCTTGTAACATCATCATCACCTAATTTGAAAAATTCCCTTGAACATTTTATTTTATTTTGTAAACATTCCAAATGCATATTTCTCCCAATAAGGGGAAGGTGATATTGTTGGGTTAAATGTAAGAAAAATTGTTTTTCCTGTACAATAAATATAGTGAAGTAACAGTCTATATTTCTCACCCTATAAGTTCTGATGCCCATTAGTTTTCTCAGTTTTGCTCTTCAAAAATGAGCCATCATGATCCAGTACTTCTAGGGATTTTTTTTTTTTTTTTTTTTTTGTAAGAACTGAAGCCCTACTACTTTAACTGTTGCTGCTACTCAGTGTGCAGAATCTTAACTATGTATCTGGAGAGACCCAGGGCCCTAAAGTGCCTACAAAATTTAGATGGCTTTGTTTACAATTTGACAGTGATTAGTTGAAAGCAAACATTATGGCAGATAAATATATATATGAAAATGTAAGTACAAAGCATAGTTCATCTCATAAGAGTGCATTTGTGGTCTAGTTAGAAAAAGAACCAAATTCATTTTCTTAGTGATGATAGTAGAATATCTTGTAATGCTTGTGAAAATTAAGTGAAAAGAGTACATGTGATATACTTAGAATAATACCTGCCCCATACAAAGCACTGAATAAATATTAGCTCATAATAAAATAATAGTACTGTCTGAACAAAAAGAAGGATTTGAGTTGTTAGTTGGAGAGAACAGGAAAAGTACATGTGGGTTAAATGCAACGTGTTCCTGTCCTTACCTCTCTTCCTAAGTCATCTGTCAAGTCCTGCCTAAGTCATCTGTCAAGTCCTGTCAGTTCCACCTAAGCGCCATATCTGTATCCATATCCTTCTTTGCAGTCAGCTTTCAGCTCGCCATGGCTATACACTCACCTCAGTCAATTGACATTCCCTCCACAATCTTAATCTTAAAACAAAAATAGATAGCAGATCACTTTATTTTCTTCAAAAATCTACATTTCCTGAAGCTTTTCTAGACTTGCATTTGTAGTGCCTGTGCTCTTCTAAGTACCCAATCTCAACGTTTGGAAGGCTGAGGCAGGAGCATAGTTGTGAGTTTGAGACAAGACTGGGCTACATAGTCTAGTTCAAGACCAGCCTGAACTACGCAGCAAGACCTTGTCTCAAAAAAAAAAAAAAAATTTTTTTTTTCTTTTTTTGGTGGAACCGGGCATTGAACTCAGACCCTTGCACTTGCCAGGGAAGCACTTATTCTACTGAGCCATCTCCCCGGCCCTAAAAAACTTTTTTAAAAGTTCCTGAAGTCATCTTTCAAAATAACCTCTTATAAGCTCCAACAACATTACCTTTGTATTTGTCTTTCAATTACAGTTAGTTCTTTAAAAATCTGCCTTCTTTATTAGATTAGATGCTTTTTGAGGGTTAGGACTGTCATATTCAGTTTTGTATCTTCTCTAAGCCTGAAAGTTTAATCCTGAAATATTGTCTTTGTATTTCTATAAAGCCCCACAGTAAGATCTCTCAGATTTAAGAGAGATATAAATTAGCCAAGAACGATACCTTTAATTACAGGGTTACACTTTTCATTGGAGCATTAAAAAATAAATTTCTGCAGAAAATAGTAGACATTTATAAGCTCTTATTAGCAAGATGTGACAAATCAACTGGAAGAAAGGGAAACGTCCGTGTAAGTGTATAGAAGTGGTTTTATGTTCAGCAGTACTATAAATGTCAGCTTGACAAAGCATTCATGACATCTATAAATATTCTATGAAAATTGTAATGCATGAAGCAATTTCATCATCTGAAGTATTTTTATTTTTAATCTTATTTGATATACCTTACTTCATCCCATAATACAGCATCAAAAAAAGAAAATGACAGATCTCCTACTGAGATTTTTCTTTCTTGTGCCACTTTTCTTAATTTTAGAGACTTAATAAAACTAATTGCATACCAATCACTTCAAAATAAGATATCAATTTACAGTCATACCTTTCTTACAAAGCTTCTAGCTTATAACGTAACACAATTTCTAGTACTGCATCTGGACTACATGTTCCTGAAATACAAGATGATTTTTCCTTTTGAATATCATGTCATCATTAAAAGTGTTATTGCCGGGCTGGTGAGATGGCTCAGTGGTCTAAAGCACCTACTTAGAACAAGCTTAGCAAAGCACAGGGACCAAGGTTCAATTCCCCAGCACCACATGCCAGCTAGCCCCGCCCCCTGGTGGGCTGAGCTGGCCACACACATACACACACAAATAAATAAATAAATAAATAAATAAATAAATAAATAAAAGTGTTATTGCCCAACACAGTTATATACTGCATTAAGTAGGAAGACAATCAGATCAGGCTCCTATATTCTAGCGCAAAGCACAAGCCTGTTTCCATTTGTACCAGAATCCTTTATAAAATGTGGTCTTCCTTCCAAAGCAAGTGTGACACTTTCTAAATTGATGTTTTTTAGAATGAACTAAAAAAGCTGAACAACGCATAAGTACGTAGTAATGCTTTAAGAAAATTACTTATCACCCTATGAAAATGGTACATAGAAATTTGTTAATCTCTTAGGCCTCAAGTTTTTAATCTTCTCTTTTAATACTTGGAGGTACTATGTTTTCAGTGTCCTTTGTTTTTAGGAAAACGCTATCTTTAGTACTATACCTAACCTCCAGTTTATCCAGAAAGACTTCTTCAGGGAGGTGATAGGCTACGACATGCTGCTATGTTGAATCTTCTTTTCTGCTTACATAAGCTAGGTGATCTTCTATGTTTAATAAAAATAGGAAATTGACTTTTTTAATGTCTTACATGTTTAACATTTGAATTTTTTTTTATTTTATTCTTCTACCTTTTCATGATGATCCAATCCATGTAAATGGCCAAATTCATATCTTGTTTTCCTGTTGTAGTTTATTTTCTTAGATACTCTGTTCTGTGTCTTCCTTACCCTTCAAAACCTACTCCAGGGAAAGTAGAAGCAGAAGAAGAAAATACTGTCTGTCTGTACTTTATAGCAAGCAGATGGTGATTGACTAAGGGTGGGAGGTGCTGATGTCACTCAAGGAAGTAAGATACTAATCAGATCAAATCTCATGGACTTGGAGGAGTATGACGTCATTCAGCAAGGCATTTCTAAGGGTGGGGGTCTGTCTCAGAGGTACAGCGCTTGCCTAGCACATGGTAGGCTGCAAGTGCAATCCTCAGCATGCAAATGAAGAAGAAAAAACAGAAATTTCTGTCCGGATTGTTTTCTCTTTAGCCACTGACATGGGTGGTCTCATGTGCATGTGTGTGCATGCATGTGTGAGTGTGTGCTGAGGTGTGGTATCACTGTTGCCCATGCCTGCCCTCAAGTGGTCCTCCTGCTTCAGCCTCCTGGATGCTGAGATTATACTCACATGCCACTGAGCGTGGTTTCTCCTTTATTTGTTAAAACTTTGATATTGTGGCAAAGTTCATTTCCCACTGTCTCAGAAAATACTAAGGAAAGTGAATTGTATTGATTGTCTTTAAGTATATCTTGCCATTATGAATCCTTATTTTGGAACAGTTATTCCTGCCTCTCTGTGTATTTTAAGTTGCGTAGTATATTTTATGCATACGGTGCTAAAGTCGTCACATTCTGGCCGACAGTCTTTCCCAATGTTATTCATCACCATTGGACATTTAAAAGGGATTTCTTTAGGGAGGTGGAGAGGAAAGAGTAAGTAGCTTTTTTTTTCTTCTTTTTTTTTGTGCTGAACCCTAGTCAGAGGGCTTCTCCTCTTTCTACTTCTTTATAAGAAAGCTGCAAGAAGATTCCTTTTTGGAAGTTGTAGAAGCTGCATAATAAAATCTGAAAACAAATTTTGTGTTTCCCTTTTACTTTGTTAACCAGATTTGTTCCATAATTATTAAAGTAGTGGGAATTTACTTAGCTTTTTAATGTAATTTCCTCACTTCAAATGTTGCAGGAAACAGAATAAAGGGTGTGATTTTTTTAAAGATAAGCTTTTAGGGTAATAAAAATGAAAATGCAATCTTACTATCAAGAGAAATAAGAGCCATCAGATAAAACAGGAGGAATGGCATCATGAAACCTGCCTCTATGGGAAACAGTCTGACTGTATCAATAATGGGTACAGTATCCACTATTCAAATCATCTAATTGTAAATAATTAAGATGCTCCAGTAATAGATGCTTTCTGATTTATTTCCGATAAAAATCAAGACTCCTTCTGAGGCTCTTCATGAATCTGGCCCATGCCTCCTCCCTGTCCCCTGACTCGCTCCAGCCACAG